GGCGGATCAGGTCCGGCAAAGGAAGCAAGGCTTCAGCGAGTCGTTCAAGGACTACATGATCGACATGCAGACGATGGTGAGGCCACTTAACTATTCTACGAAAGAGACGTTAAGGGTCATTAAAGAGAACTGCACCCCAAGCCTACGAATGTTCTTAGGAGCATACAAAGTGTCGGACCTGGACACGCTAATGATCCTAGCCGATGAGTACGAAGAACTTGAAAAGGAACGGGAAGTCTTCGCACAGGAGAACAAGTTCTCAAAGACAAAGTCGGCGTCACCAACACAGGTGACATGCAGGAGATGCGAGGAGGTAGATAACCAGGACACACGAGGAAACGACCAATGGACACCACCACACCAAGCCAGACGACAGCAGGCAACAGACGCACCACGCGGAGGCCATTGGGCACCACCCCCACAGCAACAGAGACAGCCAAACAATACCTTGTGGAGGCCGCCAAGCAACACACAGAGGCCACAAGAGGCCACCCATATCACAGACCCGCAGGAGGCCTGTCGGAAATGCGGTGGGAACGGACACTGGGCTAGAGGATGTCGAAACCAGAGGCTGCTGTTTTGCTGGATATGCGGCAAGGTGGGTCGGGAAATGGCCAGCGATCTCAGCCGCAGAGAGGCGAGCGGGGATCGCACAATGCCACCTCTCCAAACTAACGGGCAAGCTAATCGAGGAGGAGCAGCAGTTGTCCGCAGCTGTGATGATTGGTGGGAACAGCTACAAAGCCACAATCGACACCGGAGCAACGGCAAGCTTCGTGAGCGAAGAATTGGCGGACAATATTGCTGCTCTAGGAAAGATTACAAAGACGAGACGGCAAGTTAGGTTGGCAGATGGAAGGTGCGGCGGAATTGATGCGCAGCTCGAGGTGGAGGTCAAATTCGGCAACAAACAAGTGACCATGCGCCTGTTGATTTTACCCGGAGTAGTGGATCCATTAGTGTTGGGATGGAACTTCCTGAAACAAGTCGGAACCGAGATAAGGTGTGCTGGACACGAGATAATAATACCAGACAGGAACCGACACAATGGATGGCTTGAGGAGAAGCTATCAGTAGCAGTTGTTCAACAAGTAAACGAGTTGGACGATACTACAGCGTTCCTTGAAGCGGAGCTGGCAGACTTCAGCACAATGTCGGGAACATCGAATATAGCAGAACACCAGATCAAAATGAAGGACGACAAGGCAATCGCAGAGATACTACCCAAAGAACCCAAAAATTCAAGGGGAAATCAACGCAAAGGTGGACGAGCTTCTCCAAATGGGGTTCATAGAGCATTCAAAGAGCCCATACAGCTCCCCATCGTGATGATGAAAAAGAAGACAGGCAAGTGGAGACTGTGTGTCGACTTCAGGCAGATCAACGCGAAGTCAGTTAAGGATACCTACACAATGCCTCGCATAAAATACATCCTGGACCAACTAAGGGAAGCGCGGTACATCAGCAGTTTGGACCTGAAGGACGGATACTGGCAGATCCCACTGGAAGAGGGTAGCAGGCAATATACTGCGTTTACGGTACCAGGCAAAGGTCTGTTTCAGTGGAGGGTAATGCCGTTCGGACTTCACTCGGCGTCGGCAACGTTTCAGCGAGTCTTGGACCAAGTAATTGGCCCCGAGATGTCACCTCACGCATTCGCTTACCAGGATGACATAATAGTGATCGGTCGCACGCTGGAAGAACATAAAAGAAACCTGAGGGAAGTGTTCCGGCGTCTAAAGGAGGCAAACCTGAGGCTGAATACAGAAAAATGCTAATTTTTCAAAAAGGAGCTGCTATACCTGGGACATCGAGTGACTAGCGAGGGAATAGGAACAGATCCAGAAAAAGTAGCCGCCATCGCCGAACTAGAACCGCCATCGTCTGTCAAAGAGCTCCGGCAGTACCTAGGAGTAGCGTCGTGGTACCGCCGATTTGTACCAGATTTTTCCAGAATCGTCAAACCCCTGAACGACCTGCTGCGCAAAGGCAGTAAGTGGGAGTGGACACCAGAGCACCAGATGGCGTTTGAGGAGGTTAAGGCAAGACTCGTGGCAGATCCAGTGCTAGCATGCCCGGACTTCAGTAGAACTTTCATCCTGCAAACAGACGCCAGCGACTACGGCATCGGAGCGATACTGACCCAGGACACCGAAAAGGGCGAAAGAGTAATCTCCTACACAAGCCGAACACTTAACGGCGCGGAAAAGAACTACTCGACAACGGAGAAGGAGTGTTTGGCGATCGTCTGGGCGATCCGGAAGCTCCGGCAAGGTTACCACTTTAAGGTAGTAACCGACCACATGGCCCTGAAGTGGCTCAACAGCATAGAAAGCCCTTCAGGAAGGATCGCCAGATGGGCCCTGGAGCTAAAACAGTACGACTTTGAGATAGCGTACAGAAAGGGTCAGCTAAACGTGGTGGCCGACGCATTATCAAGACAACCACTACCGGAAACGCTACGAGGTTTAAAAGAGGCATCGGCAACTACAGCTTCAGGAGGGTGCAGCTGGATCAAGGACATGGGCGAAAAGATAAGGACCCAACCGCAGAAGTACCCGGACTATGTTATGGTGAGACACTGTACAGAAACATACCTCACCGAGCAGGCAGTGAAGACGTCGCGTCATGGAAGATGTGCGTCCCAAAGTCGCTACGAGAAGCAGTGTTGAGGGAGAACCACGACGCACCGTCTGCGGGACTCGTAGGAAGCCGAAGGACAATTGCACGGTTGGCAGCCCGATACTACTGGCCAGGCATGCATAGAGACGCCCAGAGAGCCCACGTACGAAAATGCGAGATTTGCATGCGGTTTAAGCCCAATCAGATGCAGGCGGCTGGGAAGATGTTGACCCAAGTGCCGGAGGAACCATGGGCCACGGTATGTGCAGACTTCGTTGGACCCCCACCAAGATGTAAGCACGGGAACCAAATGCTGCTGGTCATGATTGACAGGTTTTCGAAATGGACGGAACTGGTGCCCCTACGCAGTGCGACGGCAGAGTCGCTCAAGAAGGCGTTTAGGGAGCGCATAATCGCAAGGTACGGGGTCCCGAAGGTGGTCATAACGGACAATGGAGTACAGTTTGCAAGCCGCATCTTTAAAAATTTCCTGGCTGAGATGGGTATCAGTCAACAATTCACCGCGCCATACACACCACAAGAGAATCTGACCGAACGAGCAAACAGAACGGTCAAGACCATGATTGCGCAATTCGCAGGGCAGGACCAGAGAAACTGGGACGAGAAGTGGCCGGAGATTATGCTAGCAGTGAACACGAGCACATCGGAATCCACCGGCCATACACCGACGTTTCTTACCCAGGGAAGGGAACCACGTCTACCCAGCAGCCTATATGATAAGGAAACCCTAGGCACTGGACGAGCTACGGAGACCCCTGAGGAAAATGCCAACAAACTAAGAGAGGTATTTGAGATCGTGCGGCGAAATATGGAAAAGGCGTCCCAGGACCAAGCCAGACACTTCAATCTGAGAAGGAGACAATGGTCACCAGCGGTGGGCGACATAGTGTGGGCCAAGGAACATCACCTGTCCAAAGCGGCAGAAGGATTCGCTGCAAAAAAAAAAAGAAAGAAAAGACCGTTCACGTTGGCGAGCTCAAACAACAATTAAACGAGCAGACAGCAGAACCGTCAGATGTCTAACAACAGGTACGAGGCGACAGGATTTGGCGTCAGGCCGAAGCGAGAGTCATCCATATGCCACACGGAAAGGACAATCAGGATAGCACAAGGACATGGATAAGGATTTTTCGTTAATCCAGACTGCGAGGCCAAAGGATTATGCGTCAGGCCGAAGCGAGAGTCATCCAAACGCCACGCAGAAAGATCAACCATAAATAGAGGTCATACGGGTAACATATAGGGATCCAACCGCAGGGCAGTAGAATTCAGCGTCGGGCAGTGGCCAGAGTCATCCGCGATCACGCCAGGCGGAAGGGACACTTACAAAGCGGCACAAGGATACGGGTAACATATAGGGATCCAACCGCAGGGCAGCAGGATTCAGCGTCGGGCAGTTGCCAGAGTCATCCGCGATCACGCCAGGCGGAAGGGACACTTACAAAACGGCACAAGGATACGGATAACATATAGGGATACAACCGCAAGGCAGCAGGATTCAGCGTCGGGCAGTGGCCAGAGTCATCCGCAATTACGCCAGGCGGAAGGGACATTTACAAAACATCACAAGGATACGGGTAACATATAGTGAGCCGCCCGCAATGGCAACAGTATTCAGCGTCGGGCAGTTGCCAGAGTCATCCGTGGTTAGGCCAGGCGGGAAGGACACGGACAAGGTCGACAACAACAGTAACGAAAGCATATCACGTCAACAAGGATACCCTAACAATACCCTAAGTGAACACAAAGGACACCCGAAGGATACCCTAGGGATAGCCCAACGATACCCCAAAGATACCCAAGGATACCCCAATAGTACCCAAAGGACACCCGAAGGATACCCTAGGGATACCCCAAGGATACCCAAGGATACCCAAGGATACCCCAATAGTACCCAAAGGACACCCGAAGGATACCCTAGGGACAGCCCAATGATACCCCAAGGATACCCAAGGATACCCCAATAGTACTCAAAAGACACCTCAAGGATACCCTAATAATGCCCCAAGGATACCAAGGATACCAACCAGGAAAGCCCCGAAGCAAGGTGTAGGCCCAAGGACAACTTCCAAGGATACTCACCAAGGGTGATCAAGGTAGGGTCTCAAGTAAGTTGGTTACGGAACCGGGAGCTACAACGAACCGCAGCATCCAGAGTGCCACGGCGATCTGAGGGAGTACAACTTGTGGTTTACGAAGAAAGAGGGAAGACGGTACAGCAAAGAGAGCTGTACCGTAAGAGAGCGAGCGCCCCAAGGAAAGGACATAACGGTATCGGGCAAAAGGAAGGCGCGCAACCGAGGTTTCATGTATGGGGAGCCTGGCGACGGTCGAGCACTAAAATTCAGAACACCGACATGAGCACACGCGTCACCAGAGCCGAAGCACGCAGGAGGATGGCGGCCCTCCAGGAACCTCGCCCGGGGCAAGGATGGTCGGAGACCCGGCCTACCCGAGCTCCGCGGCGGGCCCTGGAGCGGACCCGAGACGAGGACTCCGCACCGGAACCCGCGGTGAGCTCCGACAGCGACGTGGAGGTGATCGGCGATCCCGCCGTCGAGGAGAAAGAGTGGCGACTCCGGAAGGCGGCGGCGGGCGGTCGGATACCGCGCGGGACGACGGACGTCGGAGGAGCAGAACTCCCGAGGAGCCACTCGGAGGAGGTCTGTCGGGCCACCGAGGAGACTCGGAAGCGGTTCCGAGACCGGGAGCCGTCGGACGAGGAGCAGCAACGGTCGACGGAGGAGGAGGCGCGGAGGCAGACGCGGCGGCGGCAGGACCACGAGGCGGCGGCGGCGCGGTGGCATGCCCGCTTGCGAGAGGCGGAGGAAGAGGAGCGACGGCTGTGGGAGGCACCGGCGGAGGATTCGTGGGAGGTGCCACTCACCACTCACGCGGCCGAGGAGCCCAGCCCGAGGAGCGAGGATGGGGACGAGCCATGCGCGCCATCCCCTCCGCGGTGGTTGCCCGAGATACCACCCACTCCCCGCTACAAGGGGGAGTGGCTCACAGACGACGCTCGAAACGGCGACGGAGGAGCACCGTTGGCCACGCCGCCGTGGAGGCCGGCCCGGCCACCCACGCCGCGATACGCGGAGCCACGACGACCGGAGGAGTAGACGCCAAGCGAGGAGTCGACCGCGCAGCCGATGCCGCAACCGCAGGAGGAGGAAGTCCACCAGGCAAGGGCGGAGGAGCCGTCGGTGGTGCGGACGGAGGTGCCGGCCGCTCACGTGAGCCACAGCACACGGGCGTTCGAGGCCGAGGGCATGCGGTGGCGGCAGCAGACGGTGACATGGACGTGGCCCGAGGGGCCCGCGACAGGACCGACGAAGGAGGTGCCCAGGATATGGGAGGAGGGGGTACCCAAGTTGAACCCTCGGGACCCCCGGACGAGAAGCCGACAGGATGCGATGGTCCCGCCGACACCAAGCACGGGCCGGCCAACACCGGCGACGACGGCAGCGACGGGGGAGTCGGAGTCGCTGGAGAAGGGACCGTGGGACCGCCCGAGCCACCGGCCATCCAAAGACCGACGTTGCAGCGTCAATATTCGAACCCCGGATCGACGCGCCCGCGGCCGCAGTTCATGCGGCAAGTTTCGGAACCGGAAGAAATATCGGCCAAGGTGGAAATATCGCAAACGAGCAGGTGGCAACGCCGCACCGTCGGTATCGATATGCGAATAAATATCGATCACGCACGAATGGTGTGACCAGGCGGAGGAAACATGGAAAGGAGTGAGACGCAGCAATGAGCAGCGAGCTGGGGATCGATAGCCCAGGAGTATCGATGTCCCAGTTGGAACACAGGAAATATCGCAAAAGGGAAATAACGGTGCTTGGAGGCCCTATATAAGGCCGCAGAGCGCTGGCAGCTGGATCAGTCGATCACGAGGAGTCAAACCTTCAAGATCAATTAAAGTACCAAATAAACAGTCAGTCAAGCAAATAATCTACGAGGGAGCTACAACCAAGCGAGTCGTCGGAAGCAGCGCCGTGGGAAGCATACAAGGAGCAAGATCGCCACGTCGAGACGTTCGGGATTAGGACATCAGGAATCTCCGAATTGAGACACAGGTGGCTGAGTTCTGGAAGGCATCACGCGGCTAAGTCAAGGCGTTTGTTTTCTAACTTTGTCACGACCACACCCTGGCGAGTCGCCCGGCGGGTCTGTCAGAGACAAGCAAAAGAGTCCTACGACGAAGAGCCGTCAGCTTGGGGAGGAAAGTTGTCTGCGACCCAGCGTACCTTGCCCGACCAAGCAGGACCTGGCGTGACGGACGAGCGGTAGATCGATTTGCGGTTTCAAGAGGCGGCAGCCTGGAGAGCCCTGCGATTACCGGCGAAGTTCCCGAGCAGCGACCGCCCAGCACCCCGAGCGCCAGAACAACGAGATACTGGTCAGAAGACAGCGCAGAGGACATCGACAGCGACGCCAGCAGACATTTCCGGCAGCCACGTTACCATCGCCGCGCGGAGCTCATTGGGGAGCGCAGGAGCGTCGCGGACGTCACGCATTAGGGTGAAGCCGGGTGGAACGTTCGTCTGCGCTAGGCGTAAAGCGAAGTGAACCGCTAGACAGCCTCCTGGCGGCAGCCTTGACTGTCAGCGCGAACTGAGCAAGAACCTAGCGGGACCGTCCGGGACAGAGCAAGGGACAGGTATTGCCTCGAAAGGCGTCAGCCTGGAGAGCAAGGCTTGTTCACCCTAGTCTGAGAACGGTGACGCTTCCCTAAGCCCACAAGGCCGAACTCTCTGCGGGTCTAAGGCGCAACAAGCGACCCCGAGGCAACGCGTCGGCAAGCAAGCAGAGGCGGCCACTACGAGCGTCCCGAGACCCAGGATCCAGGGGAGGACGAGTCAACGTGTCGAGGAGCCAGAAAGAGGAGCGCCAGCAGCCGGCGGAACCAGAGCCAAGAGATACCGAAGCCAGCCCAGCCACACACTAATACCACGAGAATAAATCCCACTGTTACCATTTGAACCCTTTGTTTTCTCACTGATCTACAGGCAATCACGTCATATAAATTTGGTGGGACGAACGCACAATCTTCTGAGCTAGCCGCACGAATCTCGTAGCGAGCAGACACACAAAATCAGTTCGTTACACCTTGACTTAGGTCATTTCCTTTAAAGGCTTGAAAAGCAGGCCGATATCAACAAAATCTGCAAACTCAAAATGGCACCGTCGGGAAATTTCAAGAATATGGGCAATAAAATATTAAAATATTATTGGAAAAATATGTCTAAGGGCATAAAAAAGTACATAAAAAATGTACAAAATGCAAAAATTCTAATACGTCTAAACATACCAAGACTCCATTAATTATAACTGAAACCCCACAAAGGGCTTTCGATAGGGTATTTGTGGACACAATAGATCCATACCTAGATTAGACGATGGAATCGAATATGCAGTTACATTAATCTGCGACTTAACAAAATATCTTGTCACTATACCTTTACCAAACCACAGTGCGAAAACGGTAGACAAAGCTATACTAGAACATTTTATTCTGAAGTACGGTCCAATGAAGACGTTCATTACGGACATGGGAAAAGAAAATAAAAATTCGATAATAGAGGATTTATGTAAAAATTTAAAAACTAAAGCTTAACTTCCACCGCACACCACCATCAGACAGTAGGAACCGTTGAAAGAAGTCATAGAACATTCAATGAATTCATCCGGTCCTACATATCACTCAACAAATCTGTTTTAACATACACCCTCTATGGCAAATGATTATTGTCCATATGAGCTGGTATTTGGTAGAACAGCAAATTTGCCACTACAATTTAATAGCTAAGGTACTATATATCCGATATATAACTTAGATGATTATGCTAAAAAATCGAAGTTTAGAGTAGAACTAGCACATAAAAGAGCTAGAACTAGCAAAAGCTAGATAATAACAAAATAAAACATATAACGAGGAAGAACGCTATAGTCGAGTACCTCGGCTAGTAGATACCCGTTACTCAACTAAAGGGACCAAAGGAATATGGAGATATGCAAGCAGCAAAGCGCGATTAAAATGCGCCACCTACAGGCGGTAGACCGATTTAAGCGTTATGGGCGTTAGAGTGGGCGTGGAAAATTTTTTTGTGAGCCATCGATAGGTACTGACGAGACCAATACATTTCAGTTAAAATTTTTTATCTATCATGAAAATTGTGGGCGTCACAGGTTTGGGCGATTCGTGGGCTTTAAGGTGGGCGTGGCAAACTTTTTCTTGGGTCAATCGATAGGTTTTGTTAAGAGCAATACATTTCAATTAACATTTTTATTCTAGCATTAAAACTGTATGAGCCACAGTTTTGGGCGCTTTGTAGGCGTTAGAGTGGGCGTGGCACATTGCTGAAACAAACTTGCGCTGCGTAAGAAGCTCACAAATCTGCACGCCAAATCTTAATAGCCTAGCTTTTATAGTTTCCGAGATCTCAGCGTTCATCCGGACGGACAGACAGACGGACAGACGGACATGGCTAGATCGACTCGGCTAGTGATCCTGATCAAGAATATATATACTTTATGGGGTCGGAACCGCTTCCCTCTGCCTGTTACATACTTTCCGACGAATCTAGTATACCCTTTTACTCTACGAGTAACGGGTATAAATAGGAGACCAGGTTTTATTAAAAAATTGAAAGTTGTCATTCGTTAGACTTTAAATATATTGGTCCGTACACAGTAACGGAAATAGGAGCAAGAGATAATATAACAATCTTGAGCAGTAAACATAAGAAACATGTAGTTGTTATTAACATTTTAAGTATGGCCATACATAGAATAAGATCCATACATAAGTATATATACACAAAAAAAAAACAAAAAAAATTTGAAAAGACAAAAGAAATAATTTAACAATTTTAGTGTAGCCGTGAGTTAAGCTACACACCATTGGATTTTAAAATTTTACTTATAACGAGTCATTATCATTTTTAAACATTTTGAATAGGCAGACGTTCTATGCTTATTTAATCGTAACAACTTGTGTGGACGCATCTTGGTCAACGCTTAAGTCCCGGTCTTAAGTCCGAAATATGAACCGATCGGTATGCAAAGAGCAAGTGTCTGCATAATTACCTCACATGGATATGAACTTAAGTGTATGTGCATACACCCACGCGCTCCAGCCTAAGCGAGCATATCTATATATTTAAGAATATATAACCGTCTCTCCGCTGCCGCTGTTGACAGTGCAGTTACAAGACTTAGTTCTCCTTAGCTCCTAGACAGATTAAAATGCGCCATTTACCCGCGATCTCAATATATGGTTATGTAGGCGGTAGGCTGATTTAAGCGTTATGGGCGTTAGAGTGGCATATTCGCGTTACAAACTTGCGCTGCGTACAAGGCTACGCAATCTAAATCTGAAATCCCTATTCGCCATCTTTGATAGTTTCCGAGATATCCGCGTTCATATTAACGATTTTTTGAAGTTTGTAAGCGGCTTGTGGGCGTAACAAACTTTTTTTTTAAATCAATCGAAGGTATTGATGAAAACAATACAATACATCCAACATCAAAACTGTAGGAGCCACAGATTTGGGTGGCTTGTGGGCGTTAGAGAGGGCGTGGCACCTTACTGAATCAAACATGCGCTGCGCAGGAATCTCAAGAATCTGCATGCCTAATTCCAGTATTGTAGCTATTATAGTTTCCGAGAACTCAGCGTTCATACGGACAGACGGACATGGCTAGATCGACTCGGCGAGTGATCCTGATCAAGAATATATAAATTAGGTTTAGTATGGGGGTAGCTGCAGAAGAGTCCCTCGCTGCAGTCCTCAATCAGTAGCCGGTTGGCCGATGGTCAAAATTGATGTGATCTCTGGAAATTATAATTGTCCAGCTTCCTTCGCAGCAGCTTTCGATTAGCTGCCGGTAGTCCGTTGATTAACTTCTCATCTACTGAAGAGTTATAATGATTACGGTGGAAGGGTAACTGCCCTGTGGCGGTTGCCGGAGTTATTTCAGAATGAACTTGTGTTCTTTATTCATTGAATGTTGAAAATGAACTGAATCTTAAAGCTAACATAATTGAACTTCATAGCGGCCACTCCAATGGGCAGTGCTTGCCGGCTATGCATGAGCTTTTGTCCAGAAGCTGTGTCAGCAGTTTGGCCGGAGCGGACTTGTTAGTTAACTACTACCCCTTTAGGAGTAAGGCCGCCCTCGGGACCCTATTTGGGCGATCAATTCTACTATCTGGGCCGCAGATCTCCTGGCCTGGATGACTCGCCGATAAGTTAAGCCGACGCAGATCAACGCGCAGCATATCGCTCCTGCGACTAGTACTATCTGATGTGAATGATAGTCGTTGATATCCTCCCCGAATCTTTTAATGTGCTCCAGATTACGCTCGCTCAAGCGGTGAAGGTATGGAAGACTGAGTATGTTATGCTCCACAGTAATATTCAGGGAGGGCGAGCTAGCTACTCCTGGGGCCCTTTTTTGGGCCATGTAATGGTTGACATAACGGCACTATCAGAAAAGGTGATGGAGTGCGTGCCTCGTATATGGATGGATGGAAATGTAGCTCCAGATGTTACGGAGCAATTATTGACATTTTATCCATCACAATCCGCTATGATCTTGTCCTCTAGCCTGAGCATCGTG